AATGGGGTGGTGGAGGAGCAGGGGCAGTAACGGCCTGGTGGAGGAGCAAGGGCAGTAAGGGGGTGGTGGAGGAGCAGAGGTAGTAAGGGGGCGGTGGAGGAGCAGGGGCAGTAAGGGGGCGGTGGAGGAGCAGAGGCAGTAATGGGGCGGTGGAGGACCAGGGGCAGTAATGGCCTGGTGGAGGAGGAGGGGCAGTAAGGGCGTGATGGAGGAGCAGGGGCAGTAGCCCCGTGCGGAGTATGGTTGCAGGCAGCGGTCAGACCACATGGTTGTCCCCTGGGCTGGTCTGCTGAAGGCAGCCTTGGGACAGATACTGTGATGTTTGTCTCTTTAATTTTGCTTCTTGTACCTAGGTACAAGATGGCGCTGTCAGTGGTGACTTAGAAACTTTTCACTGTTCTCATTTGAGTACATCTGACAACAAAGCTAATTCATTCAATTCTGAAATAACTGTTCAGAGGCCAGTATCCCACCCCAGTCACCCGTAATTTACTTGTGTACAGTACACTGGCTGTGGGCCAGTCAGCTCAGACTCCATCCCCTAAACTGAAGAGATTCTAAATCCCCTGGTTATCTTGGTCAGCCAGTGCTTTCCTGATTGGCTCAGGTTAACCCCAATGAAGGACCTTGTCGTCAACGATGTCCACCCAGTTCCAGTCACTACGTCCCTGCCCCTCTAAGTCTGAGCATACAGACCAGGTCGTTCTCCTGTAGGTTTTCCCGTGACACTTTTGCCCTTGGTTTGGTTGGTGTGATTCGGGCTCTGACAAGGGTGGCGTGTACCAGACCATGGCCTGTCTCTTGCGTCCAGAGCATCTCCGGAGAGTTTCCTCCCGTTCTTCCGGTGGTAATGGTATCGAGACCGCATCCATCTCGGTCTCCTCGACACTAGACGGAGGGGGAGAACCTGTGTTTTCTGCCGAGTCTTATGGCTGTTCTGAGGGGCCAGGTATGTTTTGCCCCTGCCCCGTTTGTGAGGTAACAGCTTTCAGGTGATCCACGTGTTAACATAGAACATAGAACAGTACAGCACAGTACAGGCCCTTCGGCCCACGATGTTGTGCCGACCTATTATCCTATTCTAAGATCAAACTACCCTGCATACCCTACATTTTACTTTCATCCATGTACCTATCCAAGAATCGCTTAAATGTCCCTAAAGTATCTGACCCCACTACCACTGCCGGCAGTGCATTCCACATGCCCACCACTCTCTGTGTGAAGAACCTACCTCTGACATCTCCCCTATACCTTCCTCCAATCACCTTAAAATTATGCTCCCTCCTAATAGTCACTTCCACCCTGGAAAAATGTCTCTAACTATCCATTCTATATATGCCTCTCATTATCTTGTACACCGCTATCAAGTCACCTCTCATCCTTCTTCGCTCCAATGAGAAAAGTGTTTGAGCAGGACTGTATCACCTACCCAAACTTTGTACGTCACAGGACCTGACGTCGCACCAACCTCAACTTGTACCAACACAGGGCCATTTCCACCTCAGCCCCTGAATTAAATCATCTCTCTGACTTAGAGGAGGCATGTGGCTGGCGCTGGCATTCCTGCTCCCGTTTCACCTTGTCCCCCAGGTCTGGGAATATCGGGTTTAACCTGGTGCGGAGTCTTATCCCCATTAGTATCTCTGCTGGGGCTATCCCTGTTGCTGAGTGAGGAGTGGTCCTATAATCAAATAGGACAGTTTAGTATCAATTGATGCTGTAGGCTGTTTCTTTAAGCTTGCCTTCAGTGTTTGGACTGCTCTTTCCACTAAACTATTGGACAATGGGTGGCATGGAGTTGTCCTTGAGTGCCAGATGCCACTTGACTTTAGGAAATATTTAAATTCTCTGCAGGTAAGTGACGTCCCATTGGCTGTGATCAATATTTCTGGGAGTCCATGTATAGCAAACAATGCTCGCAGATTCTCAATCGTCATCCCTGAGTTTGCCAAACGAACTTTATGCACGTCCAACCATTTTGAATGGGCATCCACAGTGACCAGGAACACTGAGCCCATGAAAAGGGCACGCATAGTTGACGTGTAACCAAGTCCAGGGTTTACCCGGCCATTCCCACGAATGTGGGGGCGCTATTGGTGGTAACTTTTGTCCTTGTTGGCACTCTGGGCACTGCCCCACCAATGCAGCTATGTTGGCATCCGACGCTGGCTACTAGACATAGCTTCTTGCTAGCATCTCCTACTTGGAAACCCCTGGATGACCCTGGGGAGATCAGCCAGTATCTTGCGGTGACCTTTACTCAGGACAGTCACCCTTGCTCCCCACAGTAATATGACATCATCTACAGTGATCTGGTCTCGCCAGCTCCAGGAATGTTTCAGTCCTGGTTGCAAGGCCCATCTGCCTCCCCCATTACTGCCAGCTGATTTAGTTTCACTAGGAAAGGATCTTTTTGTGTCCACAGTCGGATATTGTCAGCAATGTCCAGAAGGGTGTCCAGGAGGTTTAAAACCAAAACAGACTCTTCCAGTAGAGTATTTGCCAGTGGGAGGCAGCCCAAACCATCCACATTAGCCACTCAGCTTTCTGCACGGTGTTCTAACTTGTATTTGTTTGCGCTGAGAATAAGGGCCCAACGCTAAATTCTACCAGAAGCTAGGGGTGGCACTGCCGTGTCTTCCTTCAGTCGCCCTAGAAGGGGTTTGTGATCTGTTACTATGATACATTCACATCCGTAAAGGTACTGGTGGAACTTCCTCACATCAAAAATGGCCGCCAAACCTTCCTTCTCTATCTGGGTGTATTTGCATTCAGCATCAACCAAAGTTCAGAAAGCAGGGCATTCCTCTCCACTGGACCACCAAGGAGCCAACACTACCCCGATACCATACGGGGAGGCATCGAATGTCAGCATTATCTCTCGCTTCGGATCATAGTGGGCCAACACCTTCGATGACAATAGCTGCTTTTTCACTTCCCTAAAGGCTATTTCTTGGCTACAAGACCATTTCCAAGGCTGACCCTTTCTCAATAGCAGGTGGAGGGCAGGTTATGAATCTTCCATAATAATTCACTAACCCAAGGAAAGGCCTAAGCTCTGGTACAGATGTAGGGGCTGGGGATCCTTTGGTCACGCTCACTTTATGTTCCAACAGGTGTAACGCGGTCTTGTCGACTCTGTAACCTAAGTAGGTCACTTACGGTGTCTGGAACATACATTTTTCCATCTAAGGTGCACGCCCACCTGGGAGAAACGTTTAAGCACTATGTCCAAGCTCTCCAAGTGCTCTTTCTTGGTCTTCCCTGTTATTAGTGCATCATCCAGAAAGATGGCAACCTGGGGTAGCCCTTGTAAAATGTTCTCCATGGTCTGCTGGAAAAGGGCATAGGTTGATGATAACCCAAATGGCAGTCTCGTATATTGATATAAACCCTTATGGCTATTACTTATCGCATAAATCTGGGACTCCTCATCCAGTCGCAATTGTAGATAGGCGTGGCCCAAGCCCAGCTTTGTAAGGGACAGCCCCCCCCAGGAACTTTGTGTACACGTCCTCGATGCGAGGGATCGGATATTTATCCAGCTGCGAGAATCCCCACAAACGTGAATCGAGCTGTTAGGCTTCACCATCGGTACGACTGGTGCTTCCCATTCTGCAAACTGCACTGGTTTGATGATTCCTTCACTCTCCACCCTCCTGATTTCTGACTTTAATTTTGCCCAGGAGGCAAATGGCACTGGGTGGGCCTTGCAAAATCACATAATTGCTTCCTGGTCAACATGTAAGGTGGCCTTGGCCCCTTTGATAGTCCCAAGCTATAATAAAACCCTTCTCAGTCAATGGGTCACTCTGGAAGTGTTTTTGATGTTCACGTTGCATAAGGGGGCAAAGAAAGGATATGTTCTAACTGCACAGTCTCACTGAGGAGATCTGAACAGAAACAACAATGTGTCCTTCTGCAAAGAATGATTTCTACTTGCAGCCCTTTAAAAACCTATTAGCATCCTCTTAATTGATGTAAACATGACCCACGGAAGAAGGATAAGTTGCAATCCAGGTGACACAAAGCAATTAAATTAGTTAATAACCCATGGAAGGATTTAATGAAGAGAATGTGGAAAGTAAGACACTGTGCCCTTTACCTTAGTCTGGGACAAGAATGGTGGATGTTTATCAAAACGGCAGGTCTTCTCATCAAACAGGCCTTTTATTTCGTATTTTGCCGGTCCAGGGAAGCCCTTAAGAGATAATGAACAGGTAGCCAATTAAATTCCAAAGCACAACAATAATTTGCATTTATACAGTGGACTTAACATGGTAAAAATGATGTGAAACGGTACTTGTGTTGCAGTGGTAGTGTCCCTACCTCTGAGCCAGGAGGTCTGGGTTCAAGTCCCACCTGCTCCAGAGCTGTGTTATAACATCTCTGCACAGGTTGATTAGAAAAATATCTAAAACTGATGCAGGATCTGTGGGTCATTTTAAAAATAGGTACCACTGTTGACCCTGACCTGGTCTGCTCTCACAATCTGCCATTGGCACAGTGATGGTTTTTTGTGCTTTTTTTAACCTTCAGCAGGATATTCATACAGAAATGTCGTACTGAAAGATTTAATAAACTTTCCTTACAGCTCCTGGTTATTTATATTACAATCCCAGGCATTGCCTTGTGTGGGCTCGGACTGACTATAACATGTAAGAGCAGAATTAGGCCATTCAGTCTATTGAGTCTGCTCCACCATTCAATGATATATTTCTCAATCCCATTCGCCTGCCTTCTTCCTGTAATCTTTGATCCCCTTGCTAATCAAGAATCAATGACTTCGCCTCCACAGCCCCATGTGGCAATGAGTTCTACAGAGTGACTACTCTCTGGATGACAAAATTCCTCCTTATCTCAGTTCCCAAAGCTCTTCACTGAAGCATCATCAAGCCAGACATGTGACACTGAACTACATAATGAACTGATCAGGGAGAGGTGATCAGAAAGCTGGATCGATGAGCTAGGTGTTCAGCACGTGGCTTAAAGAAAAGAGATGAGCAGAGAGGTGAAGAGAGTTAGCAAGGGAGTTCCAGAATTGAGCCACCACCCTCCCCCATAGAGGATGGTAAAAATCTGCACCGACATGGTTACTTATGTTGAGAGATTATTGAAATTGAGTGAAGAAGGCTCAGGTGGAACATAAACTGGCAATGACCAGTTGGGCCAAACAGCTTATGTCATTTGTTTTAAATATTATGATTATAAGGTAAAGTTGCCATTGTCTTTACCAGACCATGAGGCTGCTCTCTCATTAGAGAGAGACAACTGCTGGTGGTTTAACCTGAGGTCCTCCATGCTTTAGGTGAGGGGAGAGGTTGAGAAGGAGAGTCCTTCATGGTAAACTCAGGCAGTGCAGGAATTGAACCCATACTGTTGGCATCATTCTGTATTGCAAATCATCTGTTCAGCCAACTGGCCCCCAACAAGGTAAGGTTGCTATTGTCTGACCAGACCATAGCGTTGCTCTCTCATTTGATATCAAAACAAATGACAGAAAAAATGCTGCTACATAAGTTCATGGAAAAAGAAAGTATTCAGGAACAGCGCTGAAGGTCATGTCAGAATGGTTACAAAGACTGACATGTTCCAGTGAAGGTTGGGAGAGTCACAATTTGCTCTGACATCCTTTGGTTGATGGTGTGCAGCTAAGCAGTGGCCCCCAGTGTGACATAATGTTTGTCATTTGGGTCATGACAGGTGCCATTAACTTACATGGGACATCACCTCACCCAGGTCATTGAGTGAACAATCAACGATGATAAGTGAGGCACTGTGTTCTTTGGGGCACCATTCACGTGTCAACAATTGACCTGACGGGGTTAACAGAGCATTGTTTTTGACACACTGAACATGTATATGGATTACTGAGAGCACACGAGATGGACTATGCCTTTGTGCAGTGCGTCTGTGCAGATATTTAGTGTCATTGGTCATGTTTGCTGACACTCCAGTGTATATCTTACTGAGAACAAGGAAACGATAATAAGTCCACAGACTGTCCAATTCAGAAGGACTGATTCACGTTATTACTGTTCATGTAAGTAACACAATCAACTGAAAAGTGAACAAGAAAACTTAACAAGTCAGCAACAACAGTATAAATAATTTCTGCTTCAATCCTGTGAACTGAAACCTTCCCAAATAGAGAACAATTTAAAATTCTTAAAACATTTTGTAAAGCAAAGCATAGCCATGCATTTCTTCCCGCCTTAAGATAACACGGAAATTAAAAAGGTCTATAATGCACAACAGTGGAAAAGAATGAAACAGGTTTGAAAAAATTTAAAACAAGACGTAATATCCCCAGTACCTGGGGCAGCAGTTACAAGAACAGGCAGCTGAGGAGAGTAAGCTAAGTGGAGTATTCATCAAAGACTGCTGAACTTTCAACTTTTCCTTTATTTTTCTAATTTATATTAAGAAGGACTTTAATGTTAACTGTTACTTTATTTCCTTATTTTTCTACTTATTCTCTGAAGGTAATGCTTAACTTTTTTAACTTTGTTTCTTTTCTTATTTTGTACGTAGGAATTCTTTTGTACATCGGTAACTTTGTACCTAAAATGGCGGCGTGCGTGGCAACATTGTACATTTTTCACTGTACTCCTGTACTTCTGTCCAAGTGACTATAAAATCTAAATGTAAATTCTAAAAATACAGATGTGCTACAGCCAGAGTGTTTGCAGTGTATCGCTGACCGCTAAGAACATACAAAAATAGGAACAGGAGGAGCTCTTTTAGCCTCTGAGAGCTTTCCACTCTTCACTGACATCATGGCGATTTGCAACCTAACTCCATATACCCACCTTTGCCCCTTAATAGATGGGGCACTGTCAGCTCTGAAGTCCTTCTAGATAACTGAACCACTGCCACAGTGCCCAAGGTGGCTAGTAACATACAACAGATAAAAAGTGTACCTCCCAGAGAGATGGCCATTCAAGAAAAGAGAAAGACCAAATATTACTATCGACGTATTTTAAATATTTGCATCATAAGGTGAGAGATGGAGATGTTCGCCGATAATTGCACAATGTTCAGCACCATTCACAACTCCTCAGATACTAAAGCAGTTTGTGTTCAAACACAACAAGATCTGGACAATATCCAGGCTTGGGCTGACAAGTAACATTTGGGCCAGACAAATATCAGACAATGACCATCTCCAATAGAAGACAAATCTAACCACTATCACTGAATCTCCAAGTATCAACATCCTGGGGATTACCATTGACCAGAAATTCAACTGGATTCATCACATAAGTATAGTGGCCACAAGAGCAGGTCAGAGGCTAAGAATACCGTGGCAAGTAACTCACCTGCTGACTCCCCAAACCTGTCCACCATCTACAAGGCGCAAGTCAGGAGTGTGATGGAATACTCCCCACTTGCCTGGATGAGTGCAGCTCCAACAACACTCAAGAAGCTCGATACCATCCAGGACAAAGCAGCCGCTTGATTGGCACAACATCCACAAACATTCACTCCCTCCACCACTGACGCTCAGTTGCAGCAGAGTGTACTAGCTACAAGATGCACTGCAGAAATTCACCAAAGATCCTCAGACAAAACCTTCCAAACCCACAACCACTTCCATCTAGAAGGACAAGAGCAGCAGATACATGGGAACACCACCACCTCCAAGTTCCCCTCCAAACCACTCACCATCCTGACTTGGAAATATATCACTGTTCCTTCAGTATCACTGACTCAAAACATTTTCTGTCATGGCATTAGACTACAGCTAGGAATACAGATTAGTGATACGTGAATTCAAACTCAATCAGAAAGCACTAATAAGACTAAACAATGGGTGTGTATTTACAGAGGGTCCTCAATTCACAATATCCTGCTTACAAACACTCATATTTATGAACACGACCCCATACAGGGAAGTATTTTTAAATACCCAACATAAAATTTCCTGTACTTACCAACTGCTCCTATGTAATGTCCTGCATTGTGCTCCGACTGTACAAATTGACTTGCAACCAGACTCCAGAATGGAACCTATCTGAACCCAGGGACTGCCTGTAACCACCTGAACTCTGGGCCCAAACCCAATGCCAACAAGATCCAGCCTTAACCTTTAATAATTACAACGGAAGGATGATATTGATCAGGTGAGGTTGAAGAGGGAAGGGAGGCCATGTATGAACTAGTTCCTTCCCCCCACAATCTCTGTCCCTCTCACCCCTCCTTCCCCTCTCTCCCTCTCATTCCTCCTCCCTTTCTGTCCTTCCTCAACCTTTCTCTGCTCTACCAAAAGTACAGGGCCCTTCAAAAGAGAATTAAATAAATATCTGGGGAAGGAATACCATGCAGGGATGTGAGGAAAGAACAAGAGAACTGGATTACTCTTTGAAGAGCTGACATAAAGTCATAGTTGTACAGCACAGAAACAGATCATTTGATCCGTCTCATCCATGCCGACCAGACATCCCAATCTGACCTAGTCCCATTTGCCAGCATTTGGCCTGTAACCCTCTAAACCCTTCCTGTTCATATATCCATCCAGATGCCTTTTAAATGTTGTAATTGTACCAGCCTCCACCACCTCCTTTGGTAGCTCATTCCATACATGCACCACCCTCTGCGTGAAAAAGTTGCCCCCTTGGTCCCTTTCTCCCCCTCATCTCAAATCTATCCCCTCTAGTTTTTGGAATTAATGGATCTAATGACCTCATTTATACTATATTGTGAATGCAGAATTTTAACGCATTTACTAAATAATCATTCATTGAAAGATATGAACAAGAATGATGAATACCATGAACAAGGACTGAAGAGAAATATTTGAAGTTTTGGCAATAGGTTGCTGGCTCAATTGATGATTTAGTGTAAGCCCGAGCTGAAAAAACCAGAATGGTGTAGGAACATGTACATACATGTGCTCTCTTCATTTTTAGCAAAGTTTGCTAACTTGACAACTACAAGTCACACTTTCATAGTGCCTTTAGGCTAGCAAAACATCCCACAGGAATAGACAGGAGCTTTCGTGGACAATATATGACACCAAGTTGTGTATGAGGGCAAGTGTGGCCAAAGGTTTGGTCAAAGAGTTAACTTTTAATCAGTGTCTTAAAGGATGAAGAGAAAGGCATTGAAAAATTCTTGTGTAATATAATGAAAGTGGAGTCAAAAAGTACCAACTAATTTCAAAAGATGAGGCCATGTTTAGACAGAACATTGGAGTAT